TCCAGTAAGATGTAAAAGAAAAGAAATAGAAATGATTTGTAATCTCAGTATCCAAAATAATCACTGTTAATTTTCAGTACATTTCCTTCCAGGACTTAAAATTTTCTTTTGGTATTCAGCTATGTGTTTATATACGCATATACTTACAAAACTGAGGTCATTTTTTTTTTTTACTATTTTTTGTTAATCTATGATTATTTTTTAAAAATTTATTTCAGAGTTTTTTTTTAGTTGAAATATAGTCAGTTTTCAATGTTGTGTCAGTTTCTGGTGTACAGCATAATGCTTCAGTCATACATGAACATACATATATTTGTTTTCATATTCTTTTTCACTGTAAGTTACTACAAGGTATAGAATATAGTCCCCTGTGCTATACAGTGTAAACTTGTTGTTTATTTTATATATAGTAGTTAGTATTTGCAAATCTCTAACTCCCACTTTATCCTTTCCCATCCCCTTCCTCCCTGGTAACCATAAGTTTGTTTTCTATGTCTATGAGTCTCTTTTTGCTTTGTAAATAAATTCGTTAGTGTCTTCTTTTTTCTTTTTTTCTTTTTTTACATTCCACATATGAGTAATATCATGTGGTATTTATCTTTCTCTTTCTGGTTTATGTCACTTAGAACGACAATTTCTAGATCCATCCATGTTGCTGAAATGGCATTATTTTTATCTTTTTTGTGGCTGAGTAGTATTCCATTGTATAAGTATACCACAACTTATTTTTCTTTAACCCTCATCTGCAATGCCACATCCTCAGAAATGCTCTCTCTGACTTTCCTAACTAAAATTGAGTTATTTTCTGTTATATCCCTGATGTTCTTTGTTCATAATGCTTTGTGAATCAGATTTTGTATTTATCATGTTTTCTTGTTCCTTGTTTTTTATCTGACTCCTCTCCTCAAATGTGGGGGGCTAGGAAATTGTTGGCTATTTTGTTTGTTTAATTTTGTGAATCCCTCCTTCCTGGCATGGTGCCTGGGACACAGGATGTGTTCAGCAAAACTTTTTTGATTGAATGAATTGCACAATCATTTAACATCATCTTATAGAAGAGTATGCATAGAAAAAGGAAAATTTTCACAATATAGTAAGTAAAAGTAAGCAGATTACAAATGGATGGCCTCACTGGGAGTTCGAGATTTAAAGATAATATTATATATAAAATAGATAAACAATAAGTCTACACTGTATAATGCAGGTAGGTATACAGCACGGGGAGGGGAGTATGTGGGTTTTATTTATTATTATTATTTTAATGGAGGTATGAGGGATTGAACCTAGGAGCTCGTGTGTGCTAAGCACTCATTCTACCACTGAGCAACACCTACCCCCCACCATTGCATCATTCCTTCTAAATTAAAGGGTTTGGAAATATTTTATAATCAAGTTCTGGTTTCTGGACAGTATTGAATAAGAATTCTTTCACGTTTGTTCCTGTGTTCCTTTCAACATTTCTTCCTGTTTACTTTCTTCCTAAAGGGAGGAAAACACTCTGTCCATCAGGAGTGAATTTAGTTATGTTTTACACTGTCCTATAAAGTATATGCTACTGAACTGTGAGCTGTCACACTGCCTCGTCTCAAAGTATTTCCAATTCTCGAACTCCCAATTTAGCCCTTCCCACCCCCTGTCCCCAGTCTGGTAACCATAAGTTTGTTTTAACCACAAGTTCATATGTATAGCACAGGGAACTGTATTCAATATCTTATAACCTACAATGAAAATGAAAGAGAATATGAAAAGAAAAAAAGCATTTTTTTTCCTTGGTCCCGAAAAAGAAAACGAGATAATCACATCTCTGCCTTTAGTTTGTACATGAGCCTATGTGCGTAGAGAAAGTGCTTTGTATGTGCATGAGGTTTGTTCCATGCAGGGTATATTTTTGTAGACGGGGAATGTTTCGTGATACAAGCGGGAGGAGAGTCACAGAGAGGCTCAGGGGTGCACCTGCTCCCAGCATCCCCATGTGGTACCTCCCTGCATGGCATCAGCACTGCAGACAGGGAGCCTCTGTGCCTAGAGAGGGAATTCCTGTGTCAGCATCCTGGGGTCCTGTGACAGGCAGCGGGTAGAGTCTGTTTAGAGCAAACGGCCATTCTTGCTTCCTGTGGTCCAGAAATGGAGGGAAATCTTCTATTACAAGAGTCCTCATCCCTTCTGGAAGACAGTGTTCCTGGGCTGACCGAGGGATGAATGCATCTGAGGACAGAGGCATGGAGGAGCTGGGTGGGGCCGGCTCGTGATGGAATTTCTGGCAGAGACGGCTGATCGCCGCCCAGAGCCATTCTTGTCTTCCTGGAAGATGGTATCGCTGCTCTAAATATTTTCTGTCCTTCTGAGTTGGATTCCCAGAAGGCGACCCTGAGGCAAGGATTCAAGTGCCAGCAGTTTATTTGGGGAGTGATTGCCCAGAAAGACAAACGTGGGAATGAAAAGCAAGACAGAAGCAGGACAGAAGCCAGCGCGGGGCGTGTCACAACGCAGGTTCCCGGGGAGGGCGGCTGGGACGCCATCGCACCCCCAGGCATCTGGGGGACGAGGGAGCCGGCGTGTTTACTGGTGGAGGGCTGCCCTAGAGGCAGTGGGAGGAGGCATCGATTTCCTGGCATTATGGGCCTGTTCTAAACATGGACAAGGAATGCTCCATGCTGGCTGCTGGATCTGAGGCTGACTTGTCCTGAAATCACAAGGTCAAGGGAATGTTTCGGGGAGGAAGGGGGGCTCACTGCATCTTCTTGACCCTCCATGTGGAAGGAGTGTGCATCCTGTCCCGTCAGCTCTGAGCTTGACTATGTCCTGCTTCATCTTTGTTACCGAGTCCAAACTCATTCTGCTCGCCTCACAACAGCCAGTAAGTCAGGAGACAAGGTGTTGGGGCAAGGAATAGCGACTTTATTTGGAAAGCCACCAGACTGAGAGGATGGCAGACGAATATCCTGGAGAACCATCTTCCCCAAGTCAGAATTCAGGCTCCTTTTGTACCAAGAAGGGGAAGGAGTGAGGCTGATTGTTGCAAACTTGTTGGTGTCAAGCCTTTGTGCTTACAGCTGTCCATGTGGGTCAGGTCACAATGTTCCTGTAAACCTCCAACAAGGCAGGGTTATTTTCTACTCTGCAACTTTTTATCTCTATACGAATGGGAAGGTGTTATACCCTTAAAGGTCAGAGCCTTGAGAATGGGCTGTCCTGTTACCCGTTAGGGGACCACGCTGGGACACATGTGCAGACTGGTTGTGGGTGGACAGGAAGGAGGAGCTGGGGCAGTAAGATGCCGGCTTAGCTGCTAATGGCCTGAGACGCCCACCCATGGTTGGCTGAGGGTGTCACATAGCAGGGCTCTGGTAGGGAACCTCCTGCTGTCTGCCCGTCAGTGTACGAGATCCTTCAGGACTATGGGGGCTTTCTCCCCATCATTTGGGTAGCAGTCCTGCCCGTAATTGTTTGTGGCAAAATGTGAGGTATTTTGTTATGATCGTCCCCTTCCTCCTGGTCTCCCCGTGCAGATGGAGTTGTCTGAGTGCCTTCTGCAGAATTCTGATGGAAAGCCCGGAGCCCAAGGACATGGAGAACTTGGTGACAAATAGCTTCATGTCCTTGACCATCAAAAGAACGCTTGTTCTGCAAACAGCTGAGCTGACCCCGGGCGGGGATGGGTGCTTTATCCATGCTGGAGCTCACCTTTCCTTCTGTGAGCTCAGCCTGCAGCTGCTGGGCTGACGGGCTGTAAAAGCGTCCACGCGATTGTCCAAACGTAAAATAAACCTCCTTTTCCAGGGCCCATTAATCACTTGCCAAAAAAATGACCACATTTGCTGAGTAAAGAAAACCTCAATAAATTTTGGAAAGCAGAAATTATGAAATCAATCTTGTTTGACTCGTCGGCAGTCCAACTTTAAAAGGTTTGAATTCAATCTTCTCAACAAGTTTGTAAATGTCATGGGGGGAAAAAAGTGAGGGGGCTCCTTCTCCAGATTTAAAAAGGCTTAAGTGACTCGGCAAAAAATGAAGTGTTGCTCTGTTTCTGATTCTGATTCAAACAAACCAACTGGGAAAAAGAAAAAAAAATTGAAACAGTTGTGTCAAATTGATGACGGACTAAGTATCAGATGACAGGGGAATTGTCACTTTTGTTAGAGAGATAAAAGCAACCGAGTCTTTCTTCTGTAACTCAAAGCTCCTAGTAAAAAAATGCTTATCCAGAGGGAGGCAGAGTATTTGGCCAGAGGATCCGCATCACGGTGCAGCCCTGCCGTGACTCCAGCGCCACCTGTAACCATAGTTAACAGTACATGTTCCAGCCAGGCAGGTGTACTTACAGCTCCTCACGCACTCTCCTCCTTCAGAATCCGGTGCCTTTGCAGAAGCTGTTCCCAGGAGTTTGCCTGCAAACCTTCAACCCTTCGCCTAGCAGGACCATCCCTGGAGATTCGGCTCAAAACTGCCTCCCTCGGCAAACACGGCACGTGGGTCCCTGTGTTCTCACGTTCTTATAACACTGCTTTATTCAACTGTATTTATTTCTTGGAGCATCTGTTTTTCCTCACTGTGCCCTGCGTATCTGGCCAGCTGGGGTGCCAGTCTGCCCATTTCCTTCAAAACTGACTGCCTGCCTTTACTATCTCCATTTTCTCACTTTTCTTTACTCCATAATATTTTTTTTATAGAAATATAGTCGGTTTACACTGTTGTGTCAATTTCTGGTGTGCAGCGCATCATGTTTCAGTCATGCATATACAGACCTGTCTTCTTTTGCATATTCTTTTTCATTATAGGTTACTACAAGATACGGAATACAGTTCCCTGTGCTGTACAGTAGGACCTTGCTGTTTATCTATGTAATCTATTTTAATAGTGTTCTCTGGGACACTAAGAGTGGTCTCTAAATTTCCTAATCTTGCTTGACTCTGTAGAATTTGACAGTGATTTCATCAACGCTTCTGTAATGAATTGGGAGTTCATTTTTTTCATTGTCTCCCTTTGACCTGTCTCAACAGAGCTTTCTCGTACAAGCAGATGATGAAAACAAAGGCTTGTGGTCCAGGAGTTCGTTTTCGAAAGTGGTTCTTTCTTAACATGAGTCCGAAGGGAGCCAAGGATTTTTCGTCGACAGAGGATTAAGTGGCGAGGAGCAGAGAGAGGCCTCTGATCAACAACCGGTGCGGAGTGGAGCCCCAGGTCCCGAGTCCTGGACCCCACAGGAATTGATCCTGCCAGCATCCCCTCGGATGAGCTGGGAGGCGGATCCATCCACAGTGCAACCACGACCGGCAGCCCCAACGGACACCTGGAGCCCGTGAGAGGAGCCCGCTGAGCCACACCTGGATTCCCCACCTACAGAAGCTTGAGATGGTGAATGTGGCTGGTTCAAGCCACTGAGGTTTGGGGAATGTGATGTACAGCAGTTGAGAACTAATACAGAGGTCATTGCTATGGTCTAAGTAAAACCTGGTCACGGCTTGAACCAAGGGGCAGCAGCAGAGGTGACGGGAGGTGGTCAGCTATGGCTTTGAAAACAGAGTCAGGAAGATATGAGAAAAAGGCCCAAGGGGCACGTACATGGAGCTTAAGTGGCACCAGGGACAGCTGGCCACTGGGTGTACCATCCCTGTGGCCTCTGAAGGAGCGGGCTTGGGCCAGGCGGCAGCTGGCTTCGCTCTAAGGGAAGGATGCTGACCCCCTCTTGCTCCCCCTTTTACGGGGCAAGAGTGAGAGCAGTCTTAGGATAAACAGATCTCCCAGGCACCCAGCGGTCTGAGGTCTCGGACAGAGATGTTTACAGAAACTCGCGAGGAAGGACAACGTTACGGAAAGCTTTGTTCTGCTGCGATCCCTCTTACTCTAAAGGAAGCAGCTCAAGAGAAGTTATTTTTAAGACGGAAGCAAGAACCATAGATTTTTATGCTGATGGGAACAGTGCGGTTGAGGGGGAAAGTCCGATGAGAAAAGGGAGAGTTGCTGGAATGCAGCCTGTGTCTAAAGACTCGGGTGGGTCCTGGTGCACGAGTTTGGTGTCATGTTCCCTCATTCTCTGCATGTTTTCCCGGCAAAGCAGGAGCAAGAAAGCCAAACTTTGTGTTTCCCTTAGACTGTGGCGCCCAGGAGAGGACTCCCCTTGTCCAAAAGAGTCACTTTGTAGACAGCCCAACCTCCAGCCAGTGGTCGACAGGTCAGAAATGTGGACGCAGCATTGCCAGATCTCCTAATTTTCAAAAGAAGCCTGTAACCCTGATTACTTTGTGTGAGAGCTCCTGATTTTTCAGTGCCCTCAACGAATTCAGAATTAAATTTTAAAAAAGCAATCCGCAGGCCAAAGCACACCAGCAGATTGAATGGGAGCGTGGTCTTTGCCCTGGGTCATCACTGTTTTAGTTAACCTCTAATTCTCCACACAGTGGCTGGAGTGAGTTTTTAAAACACAGATCTGATTGTTATAAGGACCCTGTGACAAAGCCTTGAGTGGCTTTCTCTGGCACAGTGGGTGGAGCTTCGACTCTGTGAAAGAGCATCTCCACCATCATGCCTGAGTGAGCGTTCCCACCTGTCCCCCGGGCCCCGCTCCTCAGAGACTGGACACTGCGGCCCATGGGACCCCTCCCTGTCCTCGAGAGTGCCAGCTTCCAGGCGTGGCAACTGCTTCTCTCCCTCTTCCACTGACTTCAGTTTCTACTAACTCTTCAGTTCTTTTCTTTATTTCCTTGTTCCCCTAGGCTGCCTGTCCCAGCCCCCTCCCACTAGATTGAAGACCAGATCTTTGCTAGGAACCCTCTTAAGCTCTCATCACTGCTCACATGGCCTCTAACAGCCCGGGGTACCCTCTGCTACATCTGCCTTGTTTCTAAATCCCCTGGACTCCGCAATGTCTGGGGCCAAGAGCCGTCTCCATTTGTCCGCTGAGTCAGCCAAGGGACTTCTCCGTGACAGGCCTCGAGTGCATCCCTGGTAACAGTTGGTGTTGTCCAGGGCTGGACACCAGCTGTCTCTCTTGAGCCCTTTACAGCTCTTCTCCCAATTGCAGGGTGTTGGGATGTTGCCTGGCCCCTCACATTCAACATGCACCCCGCCCCATCTCGTTCCCCTTCTCCACCGATGCCACCAGATCCCGCTCAGCCACATGGACCCAGAGACTGAGGGCCCTCTCATCTCTCACAGCAGGCATCAGATGCTCTTGAGTGTTTTCATGACCGTCTCTCAAGTTAAGTTGTTGTTGTCCTTCCCGTTATGACCATCTCCAATAAAAGCCTCCTTAAGCCTCCCCTGTACTGTTTATCTCCACTCAGATACATCTCCCCGGAGCTACCGTTCTCTCATCTCTGCCTTCTGATCTACTCCCAACCCTGCTGGCAAACCCAGCGCGTTCTCCTCTGTTTCAGATGCTTCACTGACTCCGCCTGGACGTTAGGTCTGGTTCAAATCCCGTCAGAACCTCCTGCCCTTCAGTTTCCACCCATTCATCATCCAGCCGAGCTTACAGTTCTTCTAACTTCCCACCACCCTGCCCCATCTTACACATTACGCTCTAAAACTCAAGCCTCTTAGGGTATCCTGAACACCCCTTGTGTACCATGTTCTAAATGCATTCACGTCTGCGGTTGCTTCTCCCCAAATGCTGTTGCATATCTCTGGAGGAGCCACTATTTATCTTCCAAATTCAGCTCAAATACCCGCCAAGAAGAGGCAGGAATCACTTCTTCCGTATTTCCCTGTAAGAGCTACTCACTTCCTCTGAGCCCCATTTGATGATTGTTTGTATTTCTGTTTCTTGTACACCTGTTTCTTCCCCTGGACTCTGAGGTCATTGAGAACAGGGACAAGACTCCCCTGATCTCTGCTGTCCCACGGGTGGACACAGCACCTGACGCCCACAGTCGTTGGTGGACATTGTTTGAATGAATGAGTTGCATCCATTCTTTGTTGCATGCAGCTTGAACGCACCATTGATTCCAAGCACACGGCATACCTGCTTTTATATTTAAAGCAGGTACTAAACCATTTAGTGTTTAATTTACGAGGAAATGATTAAACAGAAAGGACCTACTGCCTTGATCTTGAAGGCAGCAAGCTCATGTCTACTGCAGGGTCGCCAGGAATGTCTGAGTAAAATTAGAGGTCACTTCTTCCCTCCTAAAATGTTTTGCCTTCTAACCTTCTCCCTTATTCACTCTGTTCTCTAACAGACTCATAGAAACTTTGATCAGCTCTAATCTTTAAAGTAAAATCGAGACTCTGTGTTTGAACTCTTGGTCTAAAAGGAATGACTACTGATGAGAACAGGAGGATAGAACATTTGAAATTGAGTCTGTTTCACAAAACGTCTAACATAGGTTCCGTGTGACCAGGGATGACTTAACTTCACACTTCCTTTTAGAGAAGAGGAAGCAAAGCCCTCAGACCCGGCCCGAGGCTCCGGGGCTGACCAGTTCCAGAGCAGTCTTCCGTCCTGCCACTCACAAATTCCCATAAGATGTGAGCTAGGGAAGTGCAAACCGTTAACCCAACCACATTTCCGGAGGGAACCCTTGGCACTGGAATACTGTACAGGACTTCGAAGAATACATCTCCAGTGGTGCAGTTTTGCACACAACGTGTGGGAAACTTACATGATGGTTAATTACAGGCACGCCGTGAATCCGGAAGACCCTAGGGTGAGTCGAGGCCAACAAAGCCAGGCTGACTTTTCATCCTTCTTTCTGTTTGGAACCTCAGAGGGTCTAGAAGAGTGAGCACCCAGAACCAGTTCTTGTTTTCACATGGGGGGTCACATGGTGGTGCATTGTGGGAAATTCCCGTTGTCACAGGGAGGGTGTGGGAGGCGCCCTTCCTCCTTTCAGATGAACCACACGTACCGTGGGTGTCCTTCGATGGTCTTGCACCGCTGCTGCCTGAAGTGCTGTAAATGGGGGTGAAAAGGGCCGACAAGAACTTGGAGTTGTGGCTTATCATCAGAATTGGCCTTGCTAACCGCAGAGAACCGAAAACCGCGCATTTTGCCGATCTCAGTCCCTATCTGGGATCTGCACCCCCGGCCTCATAATCAGAAGTAACAGCATTAATAATCTTCTGACAAACACCTTCCCAAAGCTCTTTTTACTTCCCTGCAGTTTCCTTTTTAATTTCCATAGCTACTTTCCCCGTGTTTTCCCTCTGGAGTTTGAGTTTGGAAACGAAAATGATAAACGTCGAATACTAATTGGATGTGCGGCACTGGGAAACATGCATGCTTTCATTTCTTCAGTAAAGAAGCTACAGTAAAACCCTCACTGCCATCTATGGATATGGGGACCGAGGCAAAGAGAGTTTGTCTCATTTGCCAGAGGTCACGACAACTAGTAACTGTATTCCAGTGGGCCACACGGCCCTATCTTCAAGAAGCATTTTTTTCCAGTTGGGAGCTAGAGGTGTGTAGCAGGTAGGAACTTTGCTTCACAAACTCAGGTGTGCAAAAAAACCTGACTTCAGTTTTCCATCGAGAACGCAATTTCCGCTCTAAACCCTCCATCTGGCCTCCTCTCCACAAATCTGCCAGACAGGTATCATTATCTCCATTTCCCAACAGAGGAAAATTGAAGTCTGGAGAGTTAAAATGACTTGTTCAGACTCACCCTGCGTGAGGAGGAGGGTAGAGCTCAGCGTCAGGACGTGTGCCTAGCATGCACGATGTCCTGGGTTCAATCCCCAGTACCTCCATTAAAAGTTAATAATAAATAAACCTAACTACTCACCCCCAACCCAAGCTCACTCCACATAATGTGTTCCTGACCTAGAAGGGTGCCAGAGGAGTAGATACCGATCATATACAAATTCTTCCAAAAAATTAGAATAAAAGGGACACTCTCCCTTTTCTGTTAAGAAGCTAGGATTCTCAAACTGGATGAGGACTATAAAAGAAAGAAAATCTTCCGCTCACTTCACTGATGACAATAGATGCAGAAATTTTACATACAGTATTAACTAACTAACAATCTAAAGGGGTATTAAAAATGCATCATGACCAGTTAGGGCCTATTCCAGGAATGGAAAGAAAGTTTAACATTGGGAGATCTGTTAATCGCCTCCTGGGTTGGCATCGAGGGTGTAGTATCTATGTGGCGTGAACTGTCAGGGCTGAGTGCCTCCTCACATTTTGTGCTGTAAGAAAGTGGCTCACTTGTTTTGTCTTACTCCTGGCTCTGATGACCCCATTAGGAATTAAGGAAAAACTTTACATGAGTATCTCACCTGCTATTCGATTTGTATTTGACTGAGAAAAAATGTAAATGGACAACTTGGTGGTAGTTTTTAAAACTGCCAACACATTTTTTGACTCTTTGCATCGAGAATTAGGATCCATGTTCTCTTTCCTTAAATCTGGCCGCTGTGGCTGGGTCTTTTAACCTTGGCCACGTCAATGTTTGGGCCACAGATTCTTTGCCATAGGGATCTGTCCTGTGCATTGCTGAAATTTAGCAGCGTCCCTGGGCTCCATTCACTAGTGCCAGCAGCCACCCAGCCCCGGCTGTGCAAACCAAAAGTATACCTAGGCATTGCTGAATGTTCTGTGGGGGCAAATGTGCCCCTGGTTTGAGAACCACTGTAGTGGCAGAAATGAGGTTACAAGACGTCTGAATCTCTTGGGACACTCATTCTGGGAGAAACCAACTGTTCTGGACATCCAGCCATTCTGGAGATGCTCTGTGTGCACATCGTAGGTGACAGTCCCCGCTGAGCCCAGGTGACAGCCCCGGCTGAGTCTCACCCAAATTCTTCACCCTCAAATCTGTAAAATATGAAAATTGTTGTTGTTTCACTAACTTTGGGGTGGGTGGCGTGTTAATCCAGCAATGGTCACTGAAATAGCATCACTGGAAAATGGGAGGACTAGCGTTTATGAAAGAAACAGGCTTTACTGAAATTCCCTGAGTCTCTTATCAGATGCATGGCAGGCAGGGGTAGGTGAGCTCTCCGCTCTCAGCCTGGGCGTGTGCTCGTGGCATGTTGAGAATTCTCACTGAGTTGGCATCCCAAACCTGTTCTGATCCTTTTTTTTTTTCTCAAGAGAAAATATTTTAAAGATGTAAGAGTTTAAGGAACATCTGGTTTGTGGGAAAATTATAAGAACATGCGTTTCCCTCCCTCCTTCCATCACTCCCACGGTGCAGCATCCTTGGGCTCTCAGACCTTAGGAACAAAATCAGGAACAATGGCTGATACGGTTGCTCTGTCGTGGAGGCAGGCGGGGGCGCCAGCTTGGACTTGATGAAGAAGAAGCAGCACGTGTGAAAGGACAGCATCCCTCGAGGACAGAAGAATTGGGAGAATGCAGGAAGAGGGCACGGCGGTTCCCAGATACGCTGAATTAGGCTCACACCGCGAGGTGGCAGGAAAATGAATGTTTGCTTTTTCTGGCTTGGTATTTGCTTAGTGATACTTCAGCGTTTCTGAAAGATCCATGCCTTGGCTGGGGCTCTCTCTGGCTCCCTCTGCAATATTTAATTTTACAGAGAGGAAGGCTCTGATGGTAAAATAGTTGTTCTCTTTTTGTAACCAAGCAGGTCCGAGTAGGGTCGTCCCGGGACAGACCCCTCCCCATCTCCCCTGCTGCAGCTGCTCCGGAAGGACCCAGGTCATAGCATCTCATGCAGATGTCCTGAGTTTTTCAGAGGCTAAAAAGCAACACCGAAGGTAAGAAATTCACTAATGGATGATTGAGAACACGTGGCCCCCAGACCATCTGGTGCGGTGGGGGGAGGTGTTGGTAGAGTTGACCGCCCCGTTACCTTGACACCAACCAATCAGAGAACTGCGCACCAGCTGATGACGCGCCCTTGACCCCTGACCCTCGCCTGGCCTTTAAATAGGCTTTGCCAACAGCCACCCTTCGAGGAGCTCAGGGTTTTCTCGGGCGCGCGCCGCCCCGTCTTCCTTGCTCAGCACTGCAGTAAACCTTCCTCTGCTCCAGACTCCAACAGTTCGGTTTGTTTGGCGTCACGAACTTGCTTTCAGTAACATTTTCATTGATGGCTTACGTCATTTTCTACTCAAAAGGGAATGACCCTCCAAGGTAAGATTTGAAACACAGAAATACCTCTGTGTTCATCTGGCCCAGGTCTGTGATGAGTTCTTGGCATATTTTCATGATTTTACAAAACACTCCATGCACATGACGTGACCTGGGGGTTCCGTTTTTCTCCCTGGCCCCTGACGAACACAGGGAGAAGCTAGCTCCAAATGAAGCCCAGCTCAGACCTAGATTATTGCATGTTATGATTGGATACATGTTTTCTTTCTTTAGAGTGTGTTGATTGACTTTACAGTTTAGGTCAGCAAGCTTTTAGAGGAAATAGGATATAAAATTCTAGAAAAAGCAAAACTGGCATAGTAGGGGGAAAAAAAGCAGACGGGGGATGTCTTGGGCCACGGATGGGAGAGGTTGACTGCAGAGGGGCAGGCAGGAACTTTTTCCTCTGATAGAAATATTCCAAATCATGATTTGTGTGATGGTGCCATAGGTGGAGATACTTGTCAAAAGCCACTGAGCTGCATACGTGAAACAGAGCATTTTATTGCATGTGAATTACCCTAGGGCCAGTAGCAGCTAATATGTACAAGGTCTTGTCCATGTGCTGTGATTTCTACGACTCTTCCCTCCTGTCTCACTGCATTTATTCCTCTGAGGACGGCTGTGAGGAAGGATTCTCCCTTCTCCTGCGTGTGTTTCTTTATTTGTTATTTGTCTGCCTCAGAGTGGACTCGTGAATGTTTGTTCACGGGTTAAAGTCCGGTTTCGTTGCTACAATTTTGCTTTTAGTATTTGCTAGTTGGGGCCACGAAGGTTTCCATCAGGTGGGCTCCTGTGTTCTTTTATTAAGTTTCCCCCGACTTGTTGAGCGTTCTCTTACTTTGTGGCACTCCGGGATGTTCGAGGCTAACTTTATATTTACAGTGCCCCAGCCCTAGCATTAATTGCTTCTCCAAGGACCATGGTTCCTCTCGTTTGAATTTGAATATGGTTTGTTTTTTTTCTTTTTGAGCGTTTCTTTTATTTATAAAAGGGGAAGGGTATATAGCTCAGTGGTAGAGCGCGTGCCTAACATGCATGAGGTCCTGGGTTCAATCCCCAGTACCTCCGTTAGGATAACTAACTAACTAAATAAAAACCTAATTACCTTCTCCTGCCAAAAAACCCACACAAAATCTTAAAAAAATATATATATAGTTGATTTACAGTGTTGTGTTAATTTCTGGTGTACAGTATAGTTCATATAGTAACATTCAGTTATATGTTTATATGCATTCTTTTTTATTATAGGTTCACAAGATACTGAATATAGTTCCCTGTGCTATACAGTAGGACCTTGTTCTTTATCTTTACATTCCTTCTTTTACACAAAGTGTTAACGTGCTGTAAACAGTTTTTGCTGGCTTTGCATTTTTTCACGTAGGAGTACGTCCTGGAAATCACTCCTCATTAGTTCACTGAGATTCCCCTCATTTTACAGCTTTTTCACGGCTGTTTAGCACTCCGCTCCCTCCATCTCTGCACCATGACTGACATGGCTACATATCTAATTCTTACACGGGCAATTTTTTTTAACCTCCACAAACTTTGGGGGTTACCTATTTTCAAACTTTCTACAGTAAGCATTGATTGTTTTAATAATTACCAAGAAAAGTAGACAAACGTATACCACCTTTTTTCAAATTTTGAAGTTCTTTTCTATTTTTATTTTTTTCCTCCAGATTTCGTTTAAAATTTTTTTAATTGAAGTATAGTCGATGTACAATGTTGTGTTAGTTTCCAGTGTATAGCAAAGTGATTCAGTTTTATATATATATATATATATATATAATACATAGTGATTCTGGTATACATATATGTACTTTCTTCTTTAAATTCTTTTCCTTTATAGGTTATTATAAGAAATTGAATATGGTTCAGTAGGGTCCAGTAGGTCCTTGTTTATCTGTTTTATATACAGTAGTGTGTATCTATTAATCCCAAACTCCTAATTTATCCCTCCCCCCCCAACCTTTTCCCCTTTGGTAACCACAATTTCAAATGGATACCTTTATCTGACAGTCTGGGCATCGCATATTGAAGAAATGATCTTCACAAATTTCCAAAGCACAGGCCTCTTAGCAAGGAGATGTCTAGGACAGAGGGATAGGTTCGCACTGGGCTAAATGCAGAAGGGAGTTCACAGAGGAGGTTCCCAGCGTTGAACGAGGCCTGAATTTCAACTCCAGGGCTTTTCATTGTGAGGAGGGGTCTCAGGGTGGGGGGCTCTGGGTTTCATGGCTCTTACAGTCCTTCCACTCCCTAAGCAGTAACATGGGATTACAGGTTCCAGGGAGCTGGTGCTCACTGATCTGTTTCCGAGCCACCCATTTCGAGCCCAGCGTTATTCAACAGGAGAGTTTGATGTTCCCGGGAGAGGCAAATTATTGCCTGCGAAGAGCTTCGCTGGCAGAAGGGAGAGCCCCACTGCCGCGGTGGCTCGCTAATTATTTGCAAGTCCATGCTCGACTCTAAGCAGCCAGACCGAGGGGCCCTTGCTCACATCCCTCAAGCCCTTTACTTTGGAAGGTAGGGGGTTGACAGGGAAGTAACGATCTGGCCACAACTGAGGAGAAATGGACATTCTTCAGAGCTCCTTGAAGGCTTCAGAATGGTGGAGAATGTCTGACCCTCTGAAGGTAAGATTTAGAAAGAACTACACGTGGCCAGCGTGCCGTCTGCAGACTCCTGACAGCTCCTAAACTGGAATTTTGGTGCTGACTCCCCATGACATTAAGACTTTCACTTGTCCCCACATGTTACAGGCCGAAGAGGAAAACCGTGTTTTCTGAGACAGTGAGAAAGTGAATTACCTGCCAAGTGCCAGGTTAGCACCTTGGCCTTGGAGGTTCCACATCCTGGATTCAAATTTAGTAGCGTCCTTTTAACATGATGCAGAACCATCTTTAACAGTGAGAATAAACAAGCGGTTTGGATTCAAGCAAGATCCAGTTCAAATCACATGGAAAGTTGTTTTGAACCAGTTTCCTTTAGCCAACACTGAAGCCTGGCAGACTGATTTTTTCCACCTGTAAATTAGGAATGGTACCATTTTCTCACAAAATTATTGTGGGGATTAAACTTTAAAACAGAAAAAGAATCTAAAGCATCAAATGGCACTCCAGAAACATTGGTTTTCTCTCTCCCTTTTTATAAATTGAAGTAGAGGTGATTTGCAGTGTTGTATCAGTTTCTGGCGTGCAGCATGATGATTCAGCCATGTATTCTTTTTCATTGTTACAAGTTATTGAATACAGTCCCCTGTGCTCTCTCTCTCTCCTCCCCCTTTGATGAGATATATTAGGGAAGGGGTGTAAGGATATGCAGGGAGGTAGAAGAGGGGTCAGGTTAGGAACACACATTTTTTAATTAGAAACAAATAGTTTCAAATCATGGATCTGCCAAATACTTACTGCGCAACCCTGGACACACTCTTGGTGTTTTATGTTCTGTGGGCTTTGACAAATGTATAATGACCCGTATCCAATACTGTGGTTTCATACACAAGAGTTTCATGACTCTGTAAGCCCCCTGTTGGGCCTCTTCAGCCCTCCCTCCTCCTGACTTTTGCCAACCCCCTGATATTTTTATTGTCACCACAGCGTACCTCTTCCAGAATATCATCTAGTTGGAATCATACAGTAAGTGGCTTTTTCAGATTGGTTTCTTTCACTTATTAATATGTCTTTATGTCTCTCCCCTGTCTTTTCATGGCTTGACAGCTTTTTTTTTAAGTTCTGAGTAATATTCCATTGCCTGGATGTACCAGAGTTTGCTTATCAACTCACTAGTGAAGGACATCTTAATTGTCCTCTATCCTCAGTAATCGCACACTCTCTCCCCTTGCCCTGCCCTCCCCGTGATGTGGGAGGAACTTCTGAGTGTCTCTCCCCACCACTGCCTGCTCTCGCAAAGATCCTACCTGCCTTCAATTCTTCGGTTCCTTTAATTTGTCATCTCTTTGGCTAAATCCCTACTTAACTGCTGGAGGTGATTAGGTGGGGGAGTTAAGAATCCTTTCATCTTTCCTCTGGGCTTTTGTCTAGAATTAAGAACTCCAAAGCTTTGTGTTGGCTCTGGTTGCACTCCGGGGTGGTCAGGGTGGAGCGTATTGTGGAAACTGTTACTTCTCCTGGAACTGATGGTAGTTGTGTGTTGTAAGTTCTGTGTGTCACACAAGTGTGGATGTGTGGGGGGCGGAGAGGGACCTGTTTACCTTCCTTCCCCCTCGCTTTGCCCCTTACTCCTGCTGGAGAAGGCAGGTCAGAACTGCTTGGATGCTTGCCGAGTCCAGTACCTCCATATTATATCACCAAGTACAAGTTGCTACAAACTTAGTGCCTCCAACAACACACATGCTTATGATTTTAGGCATCCATGGGTGGGGATGTGGCTTTGCTGGATCTTCTGCTCACCACTGATGAGTTTGGAAAAAGTTATCCCTTTTCTTGATAAATTTCCGGATTGAATGTCCCTGTGGCTGTGTGACTGAGCTCCCCACTTTGTTCCCAGCTCCCAGCCAAGGACCATCTTTAGTGACAGGAGCCACCTCAGGTCCTGCCTCCTGAGCCCGACATGCCCTCCACCGCTTGGCTGTCTTGTTTTT